AGACTTCTTAGGACAGGAGAGGAAAGCAACCTGTATATCAAGGAAGAATTCAGACAATTTGCATTCTGATTACTAGTTTTTGGCAATGAGTAAAACTCTTCTGGGTTTTCTTGTCTTGAGGTAGGGTGTACATAGAAGACAAAACAGATAATAGCCTGCGAACCTTTTAATGCTGCCGAGCAAGAAATCCCAGTTTGAATCTAGTAACCCAAATGATTTCTGCATTTCATATCTAAAAAGGCCAGTTACCCTTTGCTGTGCTACTTAGGCTCCACATAACAAAACTTAAGCTTCCCTTTATTTGTTTTCCTACCTACCAATGAGTGAGAAAGTAGGAACAGAGCAGTTATTCAGATGAAAGAGGAATTGTGCTGAGGGTTGGACTAAATGACCCTGGAGATCCCTTCCAAGTCTTTGATTCTATGAATCCATCCTTCTTTCTCAAGGAAAAGCATTTAAATCAGCCCAAAACACTTTTGATTCATAGTGTAATGGTGAGCAACATACTCCACCAAGGAACCAACTGGAAATAGATTTCTGCTAATAGTAAAATCATGCTGGCTTACATACATGTGATAGTAACAAGTCCTGAGATGATGGATAAACTGTCATTCTTCTGTGAGATAGTTTATGAAATTTCAGGCATTATGAACCTTTTTTAGATGCTTTAGAATTAGGATTGCCAGTTGCGGGTTGGGAAATACCTGGAGATTTTAGGGATGGAGCCTAAGGAGTGTGGTTTGGAGAGAGGAGGGACTTCAATGGGGTATAGTGCCATAATGTCCACCTTCCAAAGTGGCCATATGCTCCAGGTGAGCTTATCTTTGTTGCTTGGAGATCAGTTGTAACAGCAGATCTCCAGCCACCACCTGGAGGTTGGGAGCCCTATTGAGAACTGATCAATTAACTAGTGTACTGTCACCATGAATACTTCATATTTCAGCTAAAAATGTCTGCATTTAAATATGCAAGCTTCAGAAAAGGCACCTGTTGCATGATGGTTTGTAACTTTTCCCAACTGCAAACGCAGGGATTAGAAGTACAGGCTGTCAACAGAAACTATCCATGTCATCATAAATCCAAACACTTTCAATAGAACTTTCAAATGGCTTTAGAACTGCAGCTAGGCTTTTAAAAGAGAAAGACATTTGAAGTACTAGGATTCAATGGACTACATTGACATGACAGTTACATATATGATGCCTCCTTTTATTATACCTAACTACCCCCATCTGTCAGTCACTTTAACTAGAGGCAGGTCTGACATTGTTTTATTTTGACACAACAACCAAAAACAGTGCCAAGCATCAACTTACCAACCCCTGACAGATACAAAACGTCTGCCATTTTTATAATTAGGTAAAGCATGGGTAGCTTGTCCCATACAGAATATGTAACATAACACACCTAACGCATCTCTCTTGGTTACTTACAAGAAAATCTAGTCCTCCATACTGCTCCTGCAAGCAGTGACTTACTCAAGTTTGTAAATATAGGTGTTCCATTTTTCCTAATGGCACAAATCTTCATTTGTAGAGGCTTTCAACAAACCCAGATAGGAACATGGAATGTTCCCTCTTAAACAAGTGAACTTTAAAAGACAACAAAGCATTTGGGAGAGGAGTGTTTTAACAGTACAAGAGTAACATAATTTTCCTGATTTGAAATGCCTGTCCAGAATATATGTAGAGGGGCTCTTTCATTGTTTTGCTGCATTTTTAGACATGTAAACTATCTTGAGTCCTGCTTCGCAGAATAAAAGTAGGATAAAAATATGTTTTTAAAACCCCGAGATATTCACTTTGGCTCTTATTTTCATGCTGTGCACCAGATCCCTATACATACTATACTCATTTTACAGCTGTTGTACATGCAGAGTTTTGAATTTAGATTCAGGTGTTGGTCTGAAGCAGCAGAGCAAAGTTTGAGTCCAGTGGCACCTTTAAGACCAACAAAGGTTTATTCATGGTATAAACTTTCATGTGCAAGTACACTTCATCAGTTCTAAATTGCTTGTTTGACAGATGGAAGGAATAAAGAACTTTAAATGCAGAAAAGTCTTTCTAATAAAATTAATTTCTGTTCTCTTGCCTCTCAAATATTTATCCAAATCCCAAATTCTCTCACAAGATTTCACAAACCAAATTATTTGGTGATGGCACAAAGAATGTAATAATCACTTATTAATTTAAGAGGAACGCTTAAATTCCTATTCCTCCTTTAAAGCTGATTGGAGAAAGGGAACTAATAGAAAAGGCTACTTCACTTTTTCCTCATATCACAGCCACTGCACATTTACATATGTGGCTCTGGATTCGTATTTTTCTTTCAATATGTGGCTATCATAAACCATTCAAATTAGCAGAACTATCTTGCTGCAAGCAGCCCCCAAATCACAATTTTTAGGGCTCGAGTATCATTTCTCTAGACACAGTGCAAACTAACATAACCTACCCATATGCTCCTATCTCATACAATCTCAGGAACCATGAAAGAAAAATATTACAGTAACGGGCTTGCAGCTCAGGCTAGGGTACCCACACTTTTCCCATGTTTGGACCCTGGCCAGATTGCACCAGGTCAGTGACAAAATTCATGTGATCAGCTTTATTTTCACTTAGCTACAACCAATATAATAGTAGGAAAGGTTCCCCCACAGAGAATGCATGAACTCATCTTCACAAGGTGATTTTTGACTAAATGTACTAGAAACACAGGGCTTGTTCAGGTATATAAGAAGGATAGCCTACTGTTTTTGTGGCTTGTTTCAAAATCTATTATTGGGGGGGGGGGTAAAAAAGCACAGTTAGGATAATAGTACAATGGCATGTCCAGGATCCAGCAAGTTATCAGCCAGCTTCCTGAATATTTCCTGATCTTTTAAAAGCCTCCAAACAGCAAAGGAAAGTTATGACTTCCAACATGAATGAAAAAAAATTACTAGTCTCAAGATGCATCCCATAAAATCAAAGAATAATTCTAAAATCATTCATCTCAGTATATGATAGAATTGCCAGATTACCTTTATTTCCAAAGGCACTTTTTTTTAGCTCTTGTGTGTTAGTGTGATACAGTGGTTAGATTTCAGATATCAGAATTGGATTTGGGAGACCCAGGTTTGAATCCCTACTGTCACAGAAGCTTGCTGAGTGATACTGGGCCAGTCACAACTCAGCCTAACCTGGAGGAGAGGAGAATGATAGAAGCCAGTCTGGGTCCCTATTAGATAGAAAGGTGGGGTACAAATGAAGTAAATAAATAAATAAATAAATAGTAAAATATTAAATTCAAATAAAACCATAATTGTTTCTTATTTCAAAGCACCTTTATCAATAAGTCAACACAATTTAAGAGGGTACCTTACTTTTACATTTCGACCTGTCAGCACCTGAGTACAAGGAAATTCATTTTATTTTTAATCAGTACTGTTACAATCCAACAACACTTTTTTCACTCCCATACTATACATGTCTTTAGTGAGGGCTACTTAGCTCATGATTGGTGAAAATTCATCAAGAGCTGTCTTTTGACCAGTAGAACTACAGATTAATATTCTTATTCTAGGATCACAGTCCCCAATCCAGATTATCAAAAGAGAGAGAGGAAACCCAAGCTTCCTACAAAAAAAAAAAGTACTCAGCTTTCCCTTTTCAAGTAGATGTGAAAGGGCTTGTAACACTACAGCTCTTTCTGTTCTTCTGTCAATAAATACCATTCAGAATGTGTGATATTTCTAAAGTGCAACAGCCGTTGCCCTTGCCTGTACATAGTTACTCTGCTGTCTGCCTGTTAAAATGCCAGTCATCATTTGATTTCTCTCCACAACATTTTAGACTAACACGCAAAATATTCTATTAGTTCTTTTAAAATTCATATCCCACAAACTCTCAGCCAAATTTGGCTCTCAAAGTGGCTTAAAAATAAAACATGAACCATAAGAAATATTAATACAACATTATAACTACATTAAAAACCTGGCAAAGCAAGTTTAGAAACACATTATTAAACAGAAGTCCTGCCATGTGAGAGTTGTTTTACAAACTTCTCTGAAAGGGTAAAAGGCATGGTCAACCAGCAAAGGAAACCATTTAAAGCATATCTCCAAAGAGTTGTAATCCAGTTCTTGCATCAGTGTTAACAGATATGTGTCACCAAAACAATCCCATAGTTTACTGAGAGAGAAAGATGGGCTTCAATACTAATTATACACCTGCATATTTTTATTTCAAAGGGATTTACTCTGCTCCATATGGTGATTAGGGATCTTCCATCAAGCCCAATCATACTGGTAAGGCAATATGCATCTTTCAGCTTTGTCACTCAGTCTAAACCCATTTATTTTAACACACTGAGACTGAAGTAATTCAACATAGGATTCCACTGGCCGTCTTTCTTCCATCCCACACCCAGGCATTCTATTTAAGGCAGCCCAGCTTCTTCACCTACACTACCCCTTTTACCAGCTAACATGCAAATTCAACCTAGAGAGAACTCTGTATTTCTATGGGTGCTGGATCTGCATGAGTTATGGAGACGGATATGTTGATCACATATTGCCCCAAAGGACACGGCTGGCCTGGAACCAATGAGGAGTGCCTGTGGGTACACCTGCAAGAAAGCCCAATTTGTGAGCAACCCAGTTCCTCTGGAATAACTAACTACCAAAGGCCTCCAGCCTCACCGCACCTGTGCTATATAGGAGTCTGGGCTTCCCGCCCCATAAGAGACGGAGAAACTCTCAACGCCAGCAGCTTGCTTCTCGGACTCCTGACACTGACCAAGCCCCACAATTTATTCCACTCCTATATCTACCTATCTGATATACACACACTTCCAACGGCTCTCCCTCAAAACGCTGCCAGCGCAGCGCAGGGACACACCGACTGTGCCCAGGCCCTCGCCTCGACAGGCCTTCCTCCAAGCCCCTTCTACGCCGTCACAGCCCCCCCTCGCCTCAGTCACAGCCCGGAGCTTCTCCCACCTCAGATCCTCTTCCCTACCTGGGTCTTGGTGGTGAGCTGGATCACCGCCTTCCTGAAGTTGAGCTTGGAGTCGCCGTTGCCCATCCTCCCACGACGGAGCCTGAATCCGGGTCCAGCGCTACCTCCTCGCGGTTAGCCCGTGGTCCCTCCCTGCGGCGGGCCAGACCGTGCCACCTCCTCCCTCGCCGTCCGTCACCGCTAATACCCCTCCCCCTCCTCCTCCTCTCCTCTCGCTGACGCGGCGAGCTCCATCCCTGCTGCCTCGCTCACCTGCTGCTGCCTTCCCCCACCTCCCTGTCAGTCGACTGCAGCCGCACAGCTGACTCCGCGGGGCCCTGATCCCGCGCCTCGCCTCATCACAGACACGACACGGCGCCTCCTCAGCCGTCCCCGCCTCCTTTCCTGTCCCTGTCAGAAGCAGGCACAAGCCCGCCTTCTCTCCCCTCGCAACTCGTATCTCACAGACCCCACATCCTTGTCTCCTCCGCCCATCATCCCTCTCCAGCCCTCGCCCTCAGTCCTTCCATCTTCCCCAGAAACAAAGGCCTTTCACCTTTCTCGGACCTGAGCACTATACAGCACCAGTTCTTTCCCTTTTTAAGCTGTCTCTTTCTCCCCTTCTCCCCCCCCCCCCCAGTCTTTTTTCTGCTCCCACCTCAAAACCCTGGGCCTTCCCCAGTTATGCCAAGGTATTTAATCCCTGCTGCTCTCTTCACACAGAATCCTCTGTGTTACTTAGTCCATATTAATTCTCTCCTTATACATATTTGCCTTATATTTTTTCTTTTACCCAAAAAGTCCACCTTCCTAACCGTAGGATTGATCCATGACCCTTCAGTGTTTTCCCATTCTTCTCGCTCCAGGTGGTGCACACCCAGTGGTCTGCTAAAGGAATAGTATGCTGCAAGAATGTACAATATTATTATTATTATTATTATTATTATTATTATTATTATTATTATTATTATTATTATTATTATTATTATTATTATTATTATTATTATTATTATTATTATTATTATTATT